CAATTTGAACTTTTCTGCATCTTCCTGTTGCGAAACACTGTGACGCAGACAACGAGGGCAACGGCCGTCATAACATCGGAGGTGTAAATGGGCATGTGGCAGTCCAGGGGGAAGGCTGTTCTAATGGGGCGGGAGTGACTGTGGGGTGGGTCAGACCACTTATCATGTGTGAAAAGCTTGAATGAGAGAGATTACAGTGGTCATAGAGCGCCATGTAGATGAGAGGGTGCAAGGAAAACGGAGAATTCACTCGATCAGAAGAACGAAGTTCATGTTGTGCGTAGACCGGTGGAGAATGGCTGGGGCCCTGCCAGACCCAACCCCTCTGACATGCCCCAGTGTCTCAAGCGAAAACGGCTTGCATAGCTCCATGTTTCGCTCCTGCCGTATAGTATTGATTATTACTATTCGAAGTACTAAATTTTATTTTCACTCATTTCATTTTTTGTAATTCATAAGGTGAGCGGCGAACAGGTGTAGCGCTGGTCCGTTATTTGCTGGAGAGCAACCCGCGACTAGATATTGTGGTAGTGGCGTTCAGTATCGGATCTATAGTCAATCGCTAAATGACTCTCCAGGAAGGAAAAAGCAGAAAAAATGTCATGGAAATCATCGAAAGAACTCCCGGCTGCCTCAGTGTACCCGTTTTCGGACCTGCTTGTTTTATGCCAACAAAGCATCGAGTAATGGAGTAAGATAAACATGACAATGACGAGGAAACCCAGCGTTGGGAGGGCATTTTGCTAGTTCGCTAGTTTCTTGAGTTTCAGAAAAAGCGCTGCTCTGTCGAATAAGCGTACCATTTGACAGGAAATTTTCTAAAATAGGAAAATAGTCATAAAATTACTTACAGAAACGTGTCTTTAGCGATGATCTTATCAGTTGGATCAGAAGGTTCGCCCAAGCCAGCTTTGTTCTTGGGAATGACACGGAACTTGATACTCTTCGCCTTCTTTCAGATTTCCAACAGTAGCCGTAGTTTTATCAGCGGGGACAGTCATCACCTAAAAATGTTATGGTCCTGACAAGCATGTACGGTGGTGAGAAGAATAAGTTTTATGTCTTACTGGTTCCCATCGTCCATGCTTGTCCTTTTGCTCGATCACATATTCCTCGATTGGTGCACCACCATCGTCTGCTGGTGGTTTCCATTCCAAATCAGCATGATCCTTATCCCAGTCAGTTACTTGAGGCTTGTCCATTTTTCCAGGAACTTCGTAAGGATTTTTGGCAAGGATAGAATGATCAGTTGCCAGTGGATCAGATTCGCCCTCTTTGTTCACAGCTCGAACGCGGAACTGAAACATCAGAAAATTACCTGAAACAACGAAAGGACAAGAGGAATTCGTAGATCCGTCCACCACCTTGTACTGATGTCCCGGTTGCAGATTGGTGACGGTGGCTTTGGTGCCTTCGGCACGGCCGCATGGTACCCATCTGCCAGTGGCTTCATCTAGCCTTTCGATATCGTAATGGTCAATCGGCAGTCCGCCGTCGTCCGCTGGTGGCTGAATTCAACGATTTTAGTAGGTCTATCCGGACGGGTGACTTCTCCCAAAAGATTTACCTTCCATGCCAAATCGCATTTATCCTCGAACACATTGCTGACTTCCAAAGGTCCTTCTGGAGCGCTTGGTCGTCCGAGAACAATGACGTCAACGCTGTGGGTGTCCATACCACTTGCGTTCTTCGCAGTGAAGTGTGTACTTCCCCGCATTAGCGCGAGTTGCATTTCGAAGCACCAAATTGGTCTTGTAGTCTTCATTTTCAATCTGAAACAAATGAGCCATCGGAACTATGGGAAAAAGTAGGGCACGTCTCGCCGCTGGGGAAAATTTCCGAAAAATACGACCATCTTTGATGTCCTCCTGTGAATATGACCCGATCGCCTTTTCCCATCTCACCTACCCTTTTCCTCGATCCCCAACCTCCTGCCCTTTTTTGTTCTTCAAGGATTTCCCGAAATTTAGCACATGCGAATCGGGAAAAACTGTTAAAAGCCAACAACCGGGAAATTTTTTCCCAAGGCAGCAAAAGTCTCTCAAAAGCAACTCGTCCCCCCCCGTCCGTCTCCCTCTACAGTGTCCGTGAAACAAGAAAGTCTACTATCAAAAAGGTTTCTCAGACCAAAGGCGACCCGCCCTCCCATAATGGCCTAAAACGACCCCCTTCCCCCTCCCCAGCTAGGGGTTCCCCAGCGCGTTATGACGTTGTCTGGATAAGAACCACAATCAAACTGTAACCGTACCTTGACCTTGGATTCATCAATCGGTTTATCTGCGAACATCCACGTCTTCTGTGGAGGAGGTTCACCACGGACAGGCACGTCGAATACGATGTCGTGTCCTACCTTGATTGTCATCGTCTTCATTTTTTCGCGGTCAATCCACGGTTTCACTGAAAGAAAGGGTGTTCAGAAAGGGTCCCTAGAGTTGGTCCCTAGAGTGACCACAGGATCACTTAAACCCACGATTTCTGGGCTTGGCTATAACTTTTCGGCTTGGATCGGACGCCTCTCCAGGACCAGCTTTGTTAACAGCTTTCACTCGGAATTGGTACTCTTCTCCTTCTTTTAATCCCAAAATCGTGGCAGTAGTTTCATCTCCGGATACCTGAATAGTTTCCTTCCTTTCAAAAGTCACAAAGATCTAGAAAGATATGCATATGGAATTCGAGTGTGTCGATGTTCGGCTTACCTTTCCGCATTCCTGCCAATCGCGTCCGTGCTTTCCTCTTTTCTCAATGATGTACTGAGTGATAGGAGCTCCTCCATCAGAATCTGGTGGTTGCCACTCCAGAGAAACCCTGTCGGCATCCCAATCAGTCACTTCTGGGGTGTGCGGTTTTCCAGGTTCATCTATAAAAACCATTCAATTATTGTATCAGACTTAAATATGCTAAGAACTCGGTTGGAGAAAGAGGATGTATTCTTAGACATACCGTAAGGATTTTTCGCCTTGGTTGCTTCTGTTGTAGTCAGAGGATCTGATGCGCCCTCCTTATTCACTGCCTTCACTCTGAACTGATAGGTCTGACCCTTCTTCAGTCCGTCAATGTGAGCTTTAGTGTCTTTCACCTGAATGATTCATTTTTATCCTCATTTGTTTTGATATTACAGCTTCTTTCAGATTACCTTTGCGCAAGGTACCCAGCGTCCTGTGTCCGTGTCCAACTTCTCGACTTCATAATACTCGATGGGTTCACCTCCATCGTCATCTAAAAATAGCATTAGACCTCAGAACTTCGGCACCGTTGATAAGGTCTTTAAGAAAATGCATGGTATATTGCCCAACATTGAGGGGTTAAGGACACTCAGAATGAGCCTTGAGGATAAGGATACGCAAAACCGTCTTACTAACAAAGGTCATCAAGAACGAAGGTGTGAGGGTTTTTTTCTTGATTTCAAATGGTAAGAGGCTCGAAACATGGATTTGTAAGTGCTAGCAGAGAAAATGAAGGATTGCCGGTCAATATTAGCATTAATGAGCATGCTGTGATTAGAGGCGCAGAGACGCTTATCCCATGAATGAAATACCAGGCAAGCGCGGGTGAGAGTCATACAACTTATCAGGTTGAG